TTTACGCAACTTACGCTCCATGCGAATCCAGCCTGACCCTACTCGTTATACTGTGCGCCAACGGCCTCCATGAGAACTGCGCGTTTCCTCTCGCGATCGCGAATGTGTCACATAACCAACGTCGCCTATCCCGACCGATAATGTTTATAAATACTGGGATTTGACATATGTTACATGTGCCAGCGGCAACTGCGAAGGAGCTTTGCGATAACCCTTCCGCCCCCGGTGACGCGACGCACCTCGGAGCTATGCCGTTAATGTGATAGACCGTCGCCAAAGAAAATCGAACGTCGAAGTAAAAAACAAAATGACAACTGGCCAAAGTGGGCACGATCATTCTCTTGCCATCAGACAGGAGATACAACGTTTCGAGAGCGTTCATCCATCGATATATGCCATCTACGACCTAATAGAGCTCGTGCCCGACGCGCACGTCGCCAAGCAAATTCGCGAGCATGTTGTGGCGATAGAGGGTATATACCTTCATCATTTTGTGCTGTATTTCTCGGGGGCGGATAATTGCATCACTTATGATAATAGCAGTGACACATCTTGCATGCCTAATAAGCGTATTTTGTAACTCCCCACGGCAGTGTCGTTATCGTTATATTAGGCTTGTTTTCTGTTGCTGCGACTGAACTAGTACAAAATTTTTTTTTTCATTCCATCTTACCGCACTAGTTCACTAGTACAGCAATAGAAAACAAGCCTACCCAGTCGACGTCGATCGACGAATTATTTCTCACTGGGTATTGCGCAGATATACGATAAAAAAAGGAAACACTATAATGACAACGATCTAGTGTTCCGCCAAAGTCTTTGATCCGATCTTAGTGCGGCATAGAATCAAATGTACGTGGAGACGTGACTGACTGTGTCTCTAATGGAAACGGCAATTAAATTCAATCCACACCGAAGTAGAATCGGATTGAAGGCTTCAATGAAAACTAGACTGCTGTCAAGAGTTACAGAATAGACCTATAAATGCCATATGTTACACGATTGCGCTGTATATAGTAATGTAAGTTTGCGTTTGTTTAGATTCTTTCGTTAACAGCCATGAATGGACGTTGGCGAGAGACGTCCCCGAGTTGCATCTGGGGATCATTGGTTCCTCGGACTCGGGCAAGTCCGCTCTCGTTCACAGGTATCTTACCGGTTCCTTCATGCACGAGGAGTCGCCGGAGGGCGGCCGCTTCAAAAAGGAGATTTTCATAAACGACCAGAGTTATCTTCTCCTGATCAGAGACGAGGGTGGTGTACCAGAGGCTCAAGTATGCAACAAGACCCACTTGGTTTATCGTTTTTGCCAGTGTGAACGCTTGTCGCACTGAATAATGCGTCTGTTTTAGTTTTCAGCTTGGATAGATGCTTTATTACTTGTATTCAGCTTAGAAAATGAGGAGAGTTTCTCTATAGTTTGCAGTTTTTACAATAGGATGTGTTCTTTCCGGAATATGGCAGAAGTACCAAAAATACTTGTCGGTGTGCAAGGTATGTACATCGCCGGCGCTTTATTGGTGTATCTTCTTTTTTATTGGCTATTCCTTGTATTCTTGTTCCCGTGTGCTTAAATAATTTTGTAGATTCGATTAACGACAGCAATCCTCGGGTCATAAAAGACGTCAGGCCACGGAAACTGGCTTGCGATTTGAGATGCCCTTATTACGAAACATGCGCTATTTATGGTTTAAATGTTGAGAGAGTATTCCAAGACGGTAATTCTTACGCAGAGAAACAAGTGGACATACGCTAAAAGTTGGAATGTAAAAATAACGGCAAAGTAGAGAAGGCCAATATTAACGAGCTTTTCGGCTGACAGTGTATTAATAATAATTAGTGTGAATAATAAAACACTGTCAATCGAAAAGCTCGTTAATATTGGCCTTTTCTACTTTGTCGTTATTTTGAATAGAACACAAGCGTTACCTCTTTATAATGTAAAAGTACTTTTAAATTGGCTGTAATATCTGTGCTAACGATAGGAAAATTTCAGTGTGTCAAAAAATCATACAGAATGTATCGGTGAAAAATTTTTCGTGCGACGTGTGTCAACATTCTACGGAGAACGACGTTAAGTTTGCAGTCCCTGCTGTTCCCAAAAACGTGCAACATCATAACAAAGAGGCGGAGACCACGAATTCATTGAAAGTAAATGTGAGTATCGGTCTATCGGTGCACTCTTGAACGAATCGCCAAAGATCGTGCAAGTTTATTACAAAAATAATCTCTCGACAGGTTTCGGAAAAGGAAGAAGACAGTCGATCTATTCATAACAGTTCTGTGACAAATGATTCGTCATTGCTGAACGATAATTTTCATAACGTACAGAATCAACATGGAGAGTTGCGTTCGTCAATCTTGACACCAACCACTATCAGGTATGAATAGGATACATATTTTCTTTTTGTTGTACTAGGTCTACGTTTTTACATTGATACTGTTGTAATATTTTTCTCACTTTCCAGGAAATTTAGAAGAAAATCGAATATATTTACGCCTTCTAAAAAGGAAAAATATATGGGCGAAATGGGCGTTGGTAGAGAAATTCCAGTGAAACAAGGATATTTATTTAAACGAAGCAGCAAATCGTTGAAAGAATGGAAGAAGAAATACGTCACGTTATTAGAAGATGGTCGTTTGACGTATCACTCGAGCTTGCACGTAATTATCAGTTCTATAACAGCTGTCTACTTGATCGTGTTTGCACATTTATACGATATGATTACAAAAAGACATTTTCAGGATTACATGAACGATACAAATGGGAAAGAAATACTATTGCAATATGTTACTGTGAAAGTACCTGGCAAAACACCAAAAGGCTCCAAATCATATAACGCCCAAGGTAGTGCACTTTGCGTTTCACGTGCGATTTTAGTACATTTTTATAATTTTTAACGTACCTTTTCTCTTTCCAGAAGATAGTTTCGAATTTTCCATCATCTCCTTGGAGAACAAAACTTGGCACTTTGAGGCAAACAATGCCGAGGAGAGGGACAGCTGGATTACCGCGATAGAGCAGCAAATACTGTCGAGCTTGCAGAACAGCGACGGCGACAAGAAAAATGAAACTGACGCTTTCAAGATGCATTGCATTAAGAACAAAGTTTCGGGGAATGATGCATGCGTTGATTGTGGTGCGCCGAGTGAGTCGATTTTCGTGTCTTATTAATCCCCGCGCGACTGACGGCTCGCGCACACCTCTCAACGATTACAAATCTTTGCTTCAGATCCCGACTGGGCCAGCCTTAATCTGGGCGTTTTGATGTGCATCGAATGCTCCGGTATTCACAGAAATTTAGGTTCGCACATATCTAAGGTACGGTCTTTGGATCTGGACGACTGGTCGTAAGTATGATGCAAGGTTTCGCGCGCGTCGCCAACACGCGTTTCCGTTTCTATTTGTCCCGTATTGCCGACGTTACTTAATGACACACCTTTAACGACGGTTTTAGCGCAGGTCATCTAAGCGTCATGCTGGCCCTCGGTAACGATATAGCCAACAGTATCTGGGAATATTGTTTAAATGGGAAGCAAAAACCTGTCTCGGACTCGTCCAGGGAAGAGAAGGAGCAGTGGATCAGATGGAAGTACGAGGACAAGCTCTTCTTGCCGCCGATCAATCCGAATATCTCTCTAGGAAAATTGCTCATCGATTCGGTTTGCCGGTAAAGTGTCTCGTTTATCTAACTGCAGCTCTCGATTAGGCGTGGATGTATTCCCACGATCTTATCTCTATCTCCGAATTTTGTTATCTACTAATCTATCCTTGGAATATACAGGGGAGACATGAGAGCGTTTACGTTATGTTTGGCCCGCTGTAATTACGAGGATATCAATGTCTCGGTCAGCACGGAAGATCTGCGAACGCCGTTACATCTGGCCTGCGCGACCGGGAATTTGGCGATGGCGCAACTTTTAATATGGGTTGGTGTTTTTCTCTTTTGCTGACTCGTTTTCTCATTGCCCCGTGCTATAGCGCTGTGTCATCGCAAATTTTGCAGCATAAAGCGAATCCGCAGAATTTGGATCACGAGGGACGCACGTGCATGTCGTATGTGCGAGCTTTGGAGAGAACGCTCGACAATTCATCCGATTCTATGGAAATGCAGAAGCTACTAGAGGTATTGGAGCAAGCCAGTGTCTCCGGGATGGATGACGTGGACACATCTCAGTATTAAAGTGCAAAAAGAAAAGATATGCCTTAATCACCCTGCCTGCATTTTCCGTAATACGTTGTTGATACTATGTACTTACTCGTACTCTGAAAAACCATTGCTTTGTTTAGCGACACACGAAAAAGAGCTTTTAAATGATACTTGTCCCGGACAGCCACTAAAGCACATTGAAGGAAATTGGATTGTAATAACGAACAATTATCGTAGCGTTAATTCTATACCCTGTAAAAAGTTTTTATCATGTGTGACAAACTCGGTTTAATATCGATTACGAAATTCATCTCAAATTGAACGAGGAATTCGAAATGCAATATACTTTTGTACATTGAAAATAATTCTTTAAAGAAAAAAAAAATATATATATATATACTTCGCCGTACAGTAATTTAAGATTTGTGTCAGTCGCGGAGAATGACTAATAGCATGCTCGAGTGTATATTGTCAATGACTGAGAGTACAAACACTCATAAATGTAGTTATATTTATATATCTAATACATGTAACTGTATTTGAAGATTTATGAGATTGCTTTTATAACTTTTATTTTATTAATTATTAAACGTTCAATTACATCCACGCACTATGTCCCGTTTATTCACAGTTACACCGATTCTAAAATTTCGATTGGTGTCCTGAAGTTCGAGAGCGTTGCGTTTCATAGTTTCTTGCGTCTCGCCGAAGACGATATTGCGCTTATACCGTAAACCATTTCTTCCTCTACATCCTCTTCGCTCTCTGAGGAAAAACAAAACAAATAGAACAAAATTAGTAGACTTCAGTCCTTTTATATTTCACAAATTTTTTTATTCTTGACTAATGCTTGCTTTACCAGTAAGATATATATTTGTTGGAAAAATAGGCACTTTGTTATAATAGGTGGTAGTCGTTAGCATCGACGCGGCAGAATGAGAGGAAACAGATGCTCTCCATACCGAGGGATTCCTGAAACAATAGATACGCAGTGTGTTTTACAGTAGCATTAACAACACCTTTGTATTTCACATACAAATAAATTTTGTTTGAAAATTTTTATATTAAATTGTATGTCACACACAGCGTTAAAACTACGTACATCTTGTTTAACTCATTAGCTAGCGCGTTGGGTAGCGACATCGTGAAGGTGAAAATTTGGCTGCAAAGTTCAGTATGATGCTGTAAGGGAGATTGCGCAGAAACGAATTCCTTGTAGGCACAAGCAAATAGACTTTGCAAGTTCTCAATCGGACATTCCAGATGCCCTTCAATAAGTAACATGCATTCCAAACAGATGTGAATTTGCGCTAACATATTCAACTTATTCCTGTAAGTAATTAAAACAGTCGCGCAATTAACGTTAATTGGTTCTGATCTATTCAATTTGCACAGAATGTCTTTCATATTTGTATCACCTATAATTCTCTGTGTTAAATGTTGCCGAAGATATATCCCTCAGTCTCTGCCGAATCTCATGTAGATCGACAAATCGCGCTCCTCTCAAGATGTGTAAGTAATCGCGAATAAGCTTCTCGAATCCCATGTCTACGACAAGTTCTAACGGTACACTTCCCACTAACAAATGAGAGGTCGTTTCTTGACGATGCAAATTGGAAATACACTTCACGAATCTCGTTGAGTTTGTATCGTTGATCTGACAAACGTGATCAAAATTTGCTTACAAAGTTCGTCGATCGTTTATATTGCAACTGAGATACGCCGGACAAGAAAACGTATATATTATGTTAATTACCTGTGGTGTAAACTTATGCTCGAGAATTTCTATCAAAACTGTTTCAACGTAGTTTATCATTTGCGGATATGCTGAAGCCTCTTTGCGTGTCGAAAAGAATATTCGATTAGCCAACAATATACACATATTAATAAATACTCGAAGAGTTTCACTCACTTATAAGTATTTCCCACAAGAAATCGGTAAAATCCATATCGTGTCTCAGAAAAACATTTTGCACACGTTCCTGCAATTTCGCATCAATTCCAGCACTTTCCTTGTCGATGCGATTGCTCTCCTTAACGTTACCAGACTTTCGAAAGTCGAAATCTCCATTCAGCAAAAGATTCAATTTTTCAGTTATGACGTTGTGTTCCTAAAATTTTGCACATTATCAAAGATATGATATAAGAATGAATCAGTGCCTTGGAGATAAACAATATTCAGTCACATTTTTCGTAAAAACCTGATAAGCAGAAAAATGTGACTTGATATTGTTTACCTCTGAGGCACTGAAATTAAAACGGTTTCAGGGGGGTGTACAAAGATTTATCTACCTCTGAATACGGCGTTGTGAATTTTATCGGGTCTTGCAGCCCGATATTTTTCCTGTACTCATCTATCGCTGATAAATACTGGACTAATAACAATAACTGATCTCTCAGTTCTTTCATCGGGCTATCCTTCCATCCGGCATTTATTTGAGCTGTCTACAACAATATTTATGCAGACACGAAAACACGTACAGCACTCTCGTGTTACCTTTCACATACCAAAGTATTTTTCGACAGCTTTGAATCCAAGCTACCCGAATGCGTCTCGATGTTAATGCTTCCCTCGTAATCGCTTCTCGTGGTCTTGTCCCAATCGATCGTTTCTTGTTTCATTCCAAACAAGTCGATAGTACTGAACATAGATACTTTAATCTACTCGTGTAAAAAGAAGTCAATTATAAAGCCTGCGGTCGGTCTACTTGGCGCTATAAATGCCTCGAAGCGTTCTTCTTCTGTCTTTATTAAAAGGAAAGAGAAGAACACTTCGCTTTATTTGTAGTATCAAGTAAATCTAAATCTCCAATGTTAAAATGCTCCGATGTTAATCGCTTATGTATCACATACATTGTGTTTTTGTGTAAACGGCTGTTTAAGATGTTCCTGTACAACTTTGTGACACTCGTGTCTTACTGAGGCCAAACTTATCGCACCAGTAGAAACAGCTTCCAGCGTGGTGAACCAATCTCGGGAGACAACCGCGCCAATGAGCCTGGCCAGCTTAGGATCTTTTCCATCGCAGAGAGCTAATATTGGTAAAGTATTACCGTCAAGCTTTTCCAGACATGCGTTCAGTGCGTTACTAGAAAAGAAAAGTGCATCTTGTCGGACGTTAGAAAAATCTCTTGACAATCCTACTTGATATTGGACATCAGCGATATCTTTTAATAGCCTTACGCCCGGTCTACAATGAGTTGTTAGTCGTTAGTCAGAAGTCGGAACTATATGTCGGTCCTTTTTCTTCCACCCAGAAAGGAAAAGGATCAACATATAGTTGCGACTTCTGACTAACGACTAACGACTCATTGTAGACCGGGCCTTATCGACTCCGTACGCACCATGCGTCCGTTCTGCTCAGCGGCAGATACAGCTCCTCTTCCTTCCGCCAATTCTGTCTCGCTATAACGACGGTGTCGTTAAGCTCGCAGTCGTCGAACGAATACTCCAGGGGCGAACCGCTGACGTCGTGTCCTGAAAGAACATTTCAGACTCGTATGTATTTTCGACGGTGTGTTAAACATAAGTGTTAAACATTTACAAGTTAAACATCGTGTCTAATTACTCTGCGAATACTCGTCGAAGCTTCCGTTGTTCTTCTCGTGGTCCGAGGGGTATCGCATGCCAGATACCTGAGGCAGATCACTGGGTGTTATGCTCGTGAAGAAGCGAGATTTAATTTAATCACTCACGTTTTTGTGAAGGATCATATACGGATTATCCTTGAGGTCCGGAAATAATTCGTCCACATATGACAGCCTAACTTTGCTGGCTCGTACGTGCGGCCGCAAAATATCGTTCAAATGTTCCATGTTTATTAAAACGTACGGCTCGATTTGAATTAAGTGGAGATCAAGATGGCGCATTCGCGAGATCATCGACGAGGTTTCACGAAGAGACGAGGCGATGAAGTAAAATTGCCCCGTGTCGCACAACCGCTGACATTTTGAGTTTTAGAAGCGGTCACATTTAAACATTGTCGGCAAGCATTTCTAATTTCTTTTTCCTCCGAGTTTTAACAAAAAATATTACAAATAAATTAAGGTTTTGGTGACTGAAACAGCTTGAAAAACTAAAGGAAATTCAGTTTAGAGGACTTTTGGAGGGAAAACTGCTGAGATTAAAAAGGGTTTTCCGAAGAAAAAAAATTTTTATATACAATTATTACTTTTTTATACGTATTTATTTATGGTATAATATAGTATAGTGTATGTAGTAGCCTTAATAAAACTATATAAAAGATTATTGTAACGAAATGACACACGTTTCTCATATATTTAACAATTATTTATTATTAACACACGATTGGTTCTATGCAAAACTAATCTATTGATCTATTGATTGATAATATAAAGAATAATGTTAAAAATGTTTACAGAAGCGGTTAATTTATAATAAACTATAATATCTATTAGATACTTGATTTTTATATTAAAGTTAATGTCATCACATATTGAGAAAACTAACGGATAAATACAGAATAACATATCAGAAGTTAAGAAAAGTCTAAACTTTCGTTTGGTCAACATTTAGGTTTTTTTACAACAGGCTTCGTGTTTCTGAATCCGATTGGGCAGGAAAGTTCTTTTGCATTTTTTGCAAGAAACTAATTGTGCCGTATACTCTTCCCAATTAATATTTTCTTCCGTAATACCTGAAACGTATTGTAATATGTAAGATAAATTTAAATTATATTTAAAAATATATTATTTATACAATTCCTACCTTTACTTCTCATAAGAAATTTTTAATATTGTAAAAGAAATCTGTACTATTTCATAATAATTACTCCGTAATAAAAGTCATTAATACGTTTTAAGTTATAAGCAAACATTTAAAAAATTAAAAAGCTATAAAGATGCAGCTGACTGTGCAATACAATTAAGTTTTTTATTAATTAATTTCTTTTTAATTTCAGATTTTGTCTTAATCGTAAATGTTAATCATTAGCACATTACAAACTAAGAAAAATGTAATAATATACAACGATTAATAAGACTGGAAAGAGTATAAAACAAACTAAAAATCCTTAATTTGTTATAAAATATTGTTTTATAGAGTAATTTTTTATTAATTTAGTTAAAAATTTAATATACCTTGGCAATTAAGGGGAGATATAGTCGTCTCTTTTTGAGCTGGCTCAGAATGCGATTGAGGTTGAATCGTATGCTCAATTTCTAGCGGTTTCTCAAGCCTCTTGTTTGGCGGCGTTCGTGACAATTGATGTTTTGGCTTAAACGTTTCCTGTATACATAAAAACATAATAAATAAATATGTTAATAAATTATAATTTTATTAAACAAAAAAGAAATTTATATCTTGTAGAATCTTGGAATTAGAATTAGAATTCTTGATAAAAAATTGTCCAAGATACATATAACTTATGTTCAACAGAAATCTTTTCTTTGACTTTTCTCGAACCTGAAAAGGTTTTCAAAAATATCGTAGAAACTTGGCATAAACCTTTGAATTAAAAAACGTATTTAATGTCATATTTGTATAATCTTAAAAATACTGTCATCGTCAAAAGAAGACTGACAACTCTAATTTCTTCTTCCAATTCTATTTATCGTATGGCGAGCGTGGCGCAGGAAGACGTGCGCTGTGTAGCAACCAAATGAAAAAAAGGATCAGAGTTCAAATCCAACCGAGAGCACTAGCTTTTATTCAAACGCCACTTTTCGAAGGAGAATGGCAACTACCTAAGAGTATCCTGTCACACCCCTTTAGGGTCTTCCAGGGTGAAAGTTACGTCGTAGGCTGACAACCTACTCTCAGAAAAATCCTATCTTGAAACCTCAAAGAAGACCTCCAAATGTTGGAGGCAAAAACTGGACGAGGTTCGAGTTCGATTTAGAATGTAGAGCCTTTGAATAGATAGATTAATTCCTTTTCTCACTACCTTTTCAATTAATTCTTGCTGCTCTTTATCGTCCGCTTTTTTCTCGTCTTCGCTTGAATGAATTTGTGAGTCCTTACTAACAGTGTTCTTATTAAAACTGAACTCGATACCACTAAATTGACCTTCTTCAAGATGTTTGTAGGGCTGCTTCGTATCTGGACTAAATAAGCTCTTATCATATTTAATTTTCTCTACAGCACTTTTCTTCCCAGTCTGCTTCTTAGGAGTTTCCTTATAAAGTTCATTAATATTTTCCTTATTTTCTTGATCACATTCTGATTTCTATAAAATATCAATAAAATTATTTTCACATGACTACATAGTTATACAGTTCTACAATAAAATCTCAATTATTATTATATATAATAAAAACTTAAATGTGGCACAAAAATTAGAACTAATTGAAAATTTTATATTGTACAGTACTACATTAAGATTTCTTTACACTATAAACATTAAGAAATACTCCCTCTAGCTGATTGGAGGAAAGGGAATACCTATTAGGGCCAAAAGTTCATTAAATCGAATTTAATCTAGAGGGAGTATTTCTTAATGTTTTTAGTGTAAAGAAATTTTAATGTAGTACTGTACAATATAAAATTTTCAATTAGTTCTAATTTTTGTGCCACATTTAAGTTTTTATTATACATAATAATTATATATATAACATAATAAAACAATATATAATATATATTAAGTAAAAAAAAACATATTTTCTTTCAACTTCTTTGCCACTTGATGTTATTTTGAATTCTAAAGATTGCAAAATTATTTAATGAATTAAATCACAAGTCAAAACTCAGAACCATTGTATGCTACAAACATGACTGTACGATCTCTTGAGGCAAACTGAAACAAAGCGAGTTTCTATCCCATGTTACTCAAAATAAATGCAGTATAAAACGATCATAAAGCTCATTTTTATACATCACATCTGACATCTGTTATATACCTATTATATCATAGTTTTACTGCATAAGAAAGATGCTTACCTTATTTTGACACAATTTATCGTCGCATTTACAGGACGAATTGCATCTGCCACTTTTTTTTACACAACCACAAATCCGGGTTGCACAATTCCCCCTACATTTGCAATTAGTTTTGTAACCACTGGGCGTTGTCTGCACAGTGGGCTTATATACAGTGCTGCTAGATCTTTCTACGTGTTTTCTCAGAACGTTATTTTCAAGTTGCAGCAGTCGCACTTGCTCTTCTAACTTGGCAACTTCTAAGAAACTGTCGCCGAAGCTTTCGGTCTGCGTAGCTATGTGTCTTGAGTTGCTAGAAAGTTAGTATTACCTGTTACAATCGTACATGGGGAAACAACAACGGGAATAGAGTATACGCGTAGTTATTGTAACACAGAAACGATAATTATTGTAATAATGTTCGTGCTTCTCAGGCTACATTCCATTTGGCGCTTGTGACCATCATTCGTTTTTCCTTCGCACGTGATAAATAGCAAGAACAAAATTTGTAAGAGCGTTGCAAGCACTGAACGGAGTGTATCCCTAACAGAAGCAAGGTAGACGCCAAGATCTCAGGTGAATCCTCCGTTTCCCGCCTACCTGGCCAACGAATTTGTAGATTTCGGCTTCGTTTTCGTTCTCTTCATTTTTTTCTCGAGGTGCTCTCAAAGCGTACAATTACGAGCGTCCAATTTACAGTTTGACTGCAAGACCAAAATACGAACACCAGGCGAATGTCTCAAGTGTTGATAACGCCTCAACAACGGATCATACGGTTTCCCTTTAAATCAAATCTCTCTCTGAAGAAAGGGGAGGGCAGGCAATTCTCAGCGCACCCTGGCTCGAAAAATCCGAACCGAATGGCTGCGTTCAGCAGAAAGAGCTGCTTTGCAACTGCTGTAACAATGGCCGCGTTCAGCAGACACAACTGTTGAGTGAGCGCTCGGTATGATTGGTTAATACTTTCAGATCCAGCCAATCATGTTAAGAAATCATTGAGCGCTCACTCAACA